CTGACTGAAACTCTTCAAATAAACCATTCCTCTGCAGATGAGGAAAGGCTTATTTGAAGAGTTTCACCTGTTTATCAGGAGTGGGGCGGGTGGAGGTTCGTCCACAGCGGTCATGTCAGTGGGGGGATCCGTGGGTTTCTCTGTGAATGTCACATTCCCATGGCAGCGTGCTCGCTGCTCGCTCAGATTGGCGTGTAGCAGTCCCCCGGACCAAGGAAGAAATAGAGAGAGCCTCGATGGGTGCAGTAATTTTTACTTTGACATTCACTCAGAATCTAACAGTGCTGAGGTGCGCCAATGCACCGTGAAAACTTGCTCCACATTCCAAATGCTGCAAATGGTTAATTTCGCTAGAGCCCGGTATCACGCTGCTCCACGCTTCATTGAGAGCTGCCTACTGGCACGTGTGCGCCACAAAAAACCAGTCTGAGCTGGAAATGCAGCTTGCCGCTAACTAAGCGACAGAGCCCTCTACTGGACACTACGCGTAGCTGTTCAGGCTTAGATCAATAAACAAAAACTGGACCTTTACAGAGCGGACACTGATGTTTTTGTCACTTTAACTGGACTAAAACTTAAAGTACTGTGATTACTTCCAGGCTTTAAACGCTGCATGGTCGTACTCTCTCCTGCACCATATTGTTGATCTGCACACGTCTGTTGCTGCCAGTGGCGTCGCACGCTTGTACATTATTGTCATGAGACACTCTCACAATCAAAATCACAGTTTAGTAACGCAGCGTGCTTATAGGAGAGTAACAGTAATCTAATTACTTTTTGCAATAGTAATCTCTAATGTTACTCATTACTTGTAACTCTTTACTGCCCATCTCTGCCCACAAACATCACTTTTGTGTTGCAGTGTGAGGATGGAGATGACTGCATTCACTCCAATCCACAAAGTCCTGAATTGCTCCTCTGTACTCCTCCTCATGTCTAATGATTAAGCCAGCTGTTACATCCTCCTGAAATATTCTGAGGATGTATCTGTCACTGCTGTGCAGGAAATCTGCTGTGTAGATGGTAACAAGAACAAGGCCTAAATTGTTCCTTGTAGTGCCGCTGTGAGTCTCAGGATTGTGTCAGAGACACTCATGCATGTGTTGAATGTAGAACTCTGTCAGTGCGCCGCAGGGTGGCTGTGGCTACAATGTAGCTGCCATCACCAGTGTGTGCCATTTACCATTTAACTAACTATGGAGGGAAAAGAAGTTTAAAGAAGTAAAGGCTGACTGATACGATTACACTGTGGTGCTCCAGGAAGTACATTTTATTTTCTCCTTGCTTTCAGGTTTTATATTCATTTTAGGATCCCAGAGACAAAAGGACAAGAGGAGACAGGCAGGAGCAGAAAGAAGTGTGGAGGAGACAGAGCTGCAAACATGGAGCAGGATGAAGTCGTGGAGAGTGTTAAACAAAAGCTTAAAGACCATCTCCAGGAAAAGTTTACCTGGATAAATGAGGGCACATCGGATAGTCGGTCTCGACTTGACAGCGTCTACACAAAACTCTACGTCACTCAGCAGGCTCAGGATTCTGGTTCCATATCACATGAGATTCTAGATCACTTTAATGTCCCACATCTGCAGTCATCGTTTTCACAGGTGAACAATAAACAGATCGATTTCTTAAATATCTTTAAACTGGGAAGAATTCATGTTCAGCAACAAGCAGCAAAAGAAAAGACAGTCCAAAGAGTGATGACGAAAGGCATCGCTGGCATTGGAAAGACATTTGCTGTCCAAAACTTTGCTCTAAGCTGGGCAGAAGGAAAATCTAACCAGCACATTGATTTCATCTTTGTGCTCCCCTTTAGAGAGCTGAACATGC